CGTGTAAGATACAGTTGACGTAGGTTGACGTGTAAGTATGTGATAGTATATGTGCTAGCATGTGTACGCTTTTTTCCGGTCCGGATGGCCCACGTCATCGTCACACGTTGTTCAGCTTCTTTGTAGATCTGCATCGCCAGCGAGGAGTGCCCGGAAGAAGGAGCCGGACTCTGCCAAAGCTGCCAATGCTCTGAAAGCCAGGCCAGGTTCTCGTGCTGTGTTTGGAGATCCCGAGTCATGCGGCAGTCAGCATCAGTGATGATGTAGTGATACTGGGCACGTGGGCTGCACAATAGTTCTGCCGTACGGGCTCCGTGGCTGGCAGGAGTGAGTCTCCCAGGCTTCAGACGAGCAGGCCGGCAGGAAAAGACACATGAAGACATGTTTGGGGACTGGTGATGACTCCTGTATACTGCCGTCTAAGAGCTGAGCTCCTGCGTGCGCTTGCGTTCTGGCCCCCAGCCCCGCACCTGGATGAGGGTCGACGGAAGTCCAGCCGAGCTGCAGGAAGAAGCGACGGGCAGGACGGAGTGGCGAGAAACGAAAGTTGGGAAAGGGCGCTTTCGAAGATGCTTTGAGGCTTTCAGGCGTTGGGGTCCACTGCTAGGACGCTGTGATACGCTGTGCCCGTGCCCATTTTCGAACCTTGTCTGGACGACTTCTTAGGTCTTGACTGTTCAATTCCTTTCCGACGTATAGGAGCCGACCCGGAAAGAAAGCAACTTCGCCCAGTTCCCGGTCGTGTCTTGGCTGTGTTGGCTGTGGGCAGTGTGGAAATCGTGTGGGTGGAGCTTAAAGGCACACGCGGTCACGTGTGGTTGCTGACAAAGGCCGGCGGCTGGTGCAGAGGCTGCCGCAGACCCCGCGCTGACGCGCGACAGTGAGCGGAGCAGTGCCAGGACTTCAGACGCTTGTACGTTGGGTGGTTGCTAGAGAAAGAGTCGTGGCGGCTGCACATCAGATGGGTGGTTGCTAGAGAAAGAGTCGTGGCGGCTGCACATCAGACTCTGACGAATGACTCTCTAAGACTTGTGGAGGAGCCATTCGCCCAGAGGGCCGTCCTCTCCGACGTCACGCCGGCAAGGGAAGAGGCGGCAAGAAGTGATTGCACGGGCTAGAGCCTGAAGATGCTTGAAGTAGGGCTTCCTGGTCTTCTCCGGTGCCGATGGCTTTAAAAGTGTACTGCGCTGCGCATCGCGTTTGCCACGGAGTCTGCTGGCTTGCAGGCCGGACGCTACTGAGGACTCGACATCCCAGGAGGCGGCCGGTACCAGGTTTGCAGCCTGTCGAAGGATATTTTTCACTCTCTGTCCGCTCGCACGCGAGGTGCTGCCTGAGCGCTACGCCCGCTTTGCGCCCAAGGATCCCAGGCTCGGCACGCTGGAGTTCGGAGGACTTTGTTGACACGGTTTCGCGTATTTCTGGCACGCCTGGGCAGGCTGCTGCGCCAAGAAGGCGTGGCCGAAGACAGTGCCAGGGCAGACGAGCAACCGGCAGACGCTTCCGCGAGCTCCACAGACGCCGATCCGGTTGCTTCCAGGATCGAAGATACGCCGGTGTCCCTCGTGGCTTCAACGCGTAGTGACGTGTAAGATACAGTTGACGTATGTTGATGTGTAAGTATGTGATAGTATGTGATAGTATGTATACGTTTTTTCCGGTCCGGATGGCCCACGTCATTGTCACACGTTGTTCAGCTTCTTTGTAGATCTGCATCGCCAGCGAGGAGTGCCCGGAAAAAGGAGCCGGACTCTGCCAAAGCTGCCAATGCTCTGAAAGCCAGGCCAGGTTTCTCGTGCTGTGTTTGGAGATCCCGAGTCAATGTAGTGATACTGGGCACGTGGGCTACACAATAGTTCAGCCGTACGGGCTCCGTGGCTGGCAGGAGTGAGTCTCCCAGGCTTCAGACGAGCAGGCCGGAAGGAAAGACACATGAGGACATGTTTGGGGACAGGTGATGACTGCTGTATACTGCTGTCTAAGAGCTGAGCTCCCGCATGCGCTTGCGTTCTGGCCCCCAGCCCTGCACCTGGATGAGGGTCGACGGAAGTCCAGCCGAGCTGCAGGAAGAAGCGACGGGCAGGACGGAGAGGCGAGAAACGAAAGTTGGGAAAGGGTGCTTTGGAAGATGCTTTGAGGCTTTGAGGCGTTGGGGTCACCTGCTAGGATGTTGTGATACGCTGTGCCCGTGCAATTTTTCGAACCTTGTCTGGAGGACTTCTTTGGTCTTGACTGTTCAATTCCGTGTCAATTCCTTTCCGACGTATAGGAGCCGACCCGGAAAGAAAGCAACTTCGCCCAGTTCCCGGTCGTGTCTTGGCTGTGTTGGCTGTGGGCAGTGTGGAAATCTTGTGGGTGGAGCTTAAAGGCAAACGCGGTCACGTGTGGTTGCTGACAAAGGCCGGCGGCTGGTGCAGAGGCTGCCGAAGACCCCGCGTTGACGCGCGACAGTGAGCGGAGCAGTGCCAGGACTTCAGACGCTTGTACGTTGGGCGGTTGCGCTAGGGAGAGTCGTGGCGGCTACACATCAGATTCTGGCGAATCGCTGCTGGTGACTCTCCAAGACTTGTGGAGGAGCCATTCGCCCAAAGGGCAGTCCTCTCCGACGTCACGCCGGCAAGGGAAGAGGCGGCAAGAAGTGACTGCACAGGGTAGACTCATGTAGTTTCAGGGAGACATGGAGGTAGGGAACGTTTGACGGTCAGCGGGGCAGCAGTGTGTGCGGCGAACTTCTGCGAACCTGGGGAAAGGTTCACGAAGGGCCCGAGCACCAAGCCATGAAGAGTGGATAGATGTTTTTGCGAACTCAGGCTAGTCATATAGACTTAGACGAAACTTGCGAAGGGCTAGGGGAGGGGCTTACACGAACTTAGTGTCGGTTGCCTCCTTGGCCAGTTGAAGTGCTGCCTCCCTTTGTGTTGCTCACATAGGTTGCTGATTTAAAATTTATAGGGCTTTCTGATCTTCCTGTTTGTTCCGATGCATGACTTTGCTGCCAGTGCCAGGGCAGACGAGCGACCGCCAGACGCTGCCGCGAGCTCCACAGACGCCGATCCCGATGCTTCCAGGCTCCAAGATACACGGCTGTCACTCGTGGCCTCAACCTGTAATAACTTGTAAGCTGCAGTTAAGCTGCCGTGTAAGTATGTGTGAGTTGCTTCCCGGTCCGGATGGCCCGTTGTTCGACTTCTTTGTAGATCTGCATAGCCAGCGAGGAGCGCCCAGAAAAAGGAGTCGGACTCTTCCAAAGCAGCTGCCAATGCTCTGAAAGCCAGGCCAGGTTCTCGTGCTGTGTTTAGAGAGTCCGAGTCATGCGGCAGTCAGCATCAGTGATGATGTAGTGATACTGGGCACGTGGGCTACACAATAGTTCAGCCGTACGGGCTCCGTGGCTGGCAGGAGTGAGTCTCCCAGGCTTCAGACGAGCAGGCCGGAAGGAAAGACATATGCCGAGCTGCAGGAAGGAGCGACGGGCAGGACGGAGTGGCGAGAAACGAAAGTTGGGAAAGGGTGCTTTGGAAGATGCTTTGAGGCTTTCAGGCGTTGGGGTCACCTGCTAGGACGCTGTGATACGCTGTGCCTGTGCCCATTTTCGAACCTTGTCTGGACGACTTCTTTGGTCTTGACTGTTCAATTCCTTTCCGACGTATAGGAGCCGAACCGGAAAGAAAGCAACTTCGCCCAGTTCCCGGTCGTGTCTTGGCTGTGTTGGCTGTGGGCAGTGTGGAAATCTTGTGGGTGGAGCTTAAAGGCACACGCGGTCACGTGTGGTTGCTGACAAAGGCCGGCGGCTGGTGCAGAGGCTGCCGCAGACCCCGCGCTGACGCGCGACAGTGAGCGGAGCAGTGCCAGGACTTCAGACGCTTGTACGTTGGGTGGTTGCTAGAGAAAGAGTCGTGGCGGCTGCACATCAGACTCTGACGAATGACTCTCTAAGACTTGTGGAGGAGCCATTCGCCCAGAGGGCCGTCCTCTCCGACGTCACGCCGGCAAGGGAAGAGGCGGCAAGAAGTGACTGCACAGGGTAGACTCATGTAGTTTTAGGGAGACATGGAGGTAGGGAACCGTTTGACGGTGCACAGGCACCCATTCCACGAACTCAGTGGGGCAGAAGTGTGTGTGTGTGTGTGTGGCGAACTTCTGACGAAGGGCCCGAAGACCAAGCCGTGAAGAGTGGATAGATGTTTTTGCGAACTCAGGCAAGCTAAAAACCATAGTGCCATAGTCCCTATGTGTTGCTCACATAGGTTGCTGACGTAAAATTTATAGGGCTTCCTGATCTTCCTGTTTGTTCCGATGCATGACTTTGCTGCCAGTGCCAGGGCAGACGGGCAACCGGCAGACGCTGCCGCGAGCTCCACAGACGCCGATCCCGATGCTTCCAGGCTCCAAGATACACGGCTGTCACTCGTGGCCTCAACGCGTAAGAACTTGTAAGCTACAGTTAAGATCCCTGTAAGCATGAGTATCTTTTTTCTGGACTCTTTGTAGATCTGCATAGCCAGCGAGGAGCGCCCAGAAAAAGGAGCCGGACTCTTCCAAAGCTGCCACTGCTCTGAAAGCCAGGCCAGGTTCGCGTGCTGTGTTTGGAGATCCCGAGCCATGCGGCAATCAGCATCAGTGATGATGTAGTGATACTGGGCACGTGGGCTACACGATAGTTCAGCCGTACGGGCTCCGTGGCTGGCAGGAGTGAGTCTCCCAGGCTTCAGACGAGGCAGGCCGGAAGGAAAGACATACTAGGACATGTTTGGGGACTGGTGATGACTGCTGTATACTGCTGTCTAAGAGCTGAGCTCCTGCATGCGCTTGCGTTCTGGCCCCCAGCCCCGCACCTGGATGAGGGTCGACGGAAGTCCAGCCGAGCTGCAGGAAGGAGCGACGGGCAGGACGGAGTGGCGAGAAACGAAAGTTGGGAAAGGGTGCTTTGGAAGATGCTTTGAGGCTTTCAGGCGCTGGGGTCAACTGCTAGGATGCTGTGATACGCTGCGCCTGTGCCCATGTTCGAACCTTGTCTGGACGACTTCTTTGGTCTTGACCGTTCAATTCCTTTCCGACGTATAGGAGCCGAACCGGAAAGAAAGCAACTTCGCCCAGTTCCCGGTCGTGTCTTGGCTGTGTTGGCTGTGGGCAGTGTGGAAATCTTGTGGGTGGAGCTTAAAGGCAAACGCGGTCACGTGTGGTTGCTGACAAAGGCCGGCGGCTGGTGCGGAGGCTGCCGAAGACCCCGCGCTGACGCGCGACAGTGAGCGGAGCAGTGCCAGGACTTCAGACGCTTGTACGTTGGGCGGTTGCCAGGGAGAGTCGTGGCGGCTACACATCAGACTCTGGCGAATCGCTGCTGGTGACTCTCTAAGACTTGTGGAGGAGCCATTCGCCCAGAGGGCAGTCCTCTCCGACGTCACGCCGGCAAGGGAAGAGGCGGCAAGAAGTGACTGCACAGGGGTAGACTCATGTAGTTTCAGGGAGACATGGAGGTAGGGAACCGTTTGACGGTGCACAGGCACCCATTCCACGAACTCAGTGGGGCAGAAGTGTGTGTGTGTGGCGAACTTCTGACGAAGGGCCCGAAGACCAAGCCGTGAAGAGTGGATAGATGTTTTTGCGAACTCAGGCAAGCTAAAAACCATAGTGCCATAGTATGACTATAGACGAAACTTGCGAAAGGCCAGGGGAGGGGCTTACACACGAACGTAGTTTCTGTTGCCTCCTTGGCCAGTAGAAGTGCTGCCTCCCTTTGTGTTGCTCACATAGGTTGCTGACTTAAAATTTATAGGGCTTCCTGATCTTCCTGTTTGTTCCGATGCATGACTTTGCTGCCAGTGCCAGGGCAGACGAGCAACCGGCAGACGCTGCCGCGAGCTCCACAGACGCCGATCCCGATGCTTCCAGGCTCCAAGATACACGGCTGTCACTCGTGGCCTCAACGCGTAAGAACTTGTAAGCTACAGTTAAGATCCCTGTAAGCATGAGTATCGTTTTTCTGGACTCTTTGTAGATCTGCATAGCCAGCGAGGAGCGCCCAGAAAAAGGAGCCGGACTCTTCCAAAGCTGCCACTGCTCTGAAAGCCAGGCCAGGTTCGCGTGCTGTGTTTGGAGATCCCGAGTCAATGTAGTGATACTGGGCACGTGGGCTACACGATAGTTCAGCCGTACGGGCTCCGTGGCTGGCAGGAGTGAGTCTCCCAGGCTTCAGACGAGGCAGGCCGGAAGGAAAGACATACTAGGACATGTTTGGGGACTGGTGATGACTGCTGTATACTGCTGTCTAAGAGCTGAGCTCCTGCATGCGCTTGCGTTCTGGCCCCCAGCCCCGCACCTGGATGAGGGTCGACGGAAGTCCAGCCGAGCTGCAGGAAGGAGCGACGGGCAGGACGGAGTGGCGAGAAACGAAAGTTTGGGAAAGGGCCCTTTCGAAGATGCTTTGAGGCTTTCAGGCGTTGGGGTCACCCGCTAGGACGCTGTGATACGCTGCGCCTGTGCCCATTTTCGAACCTTGTCTGGACGACTTCTTTGGTCTTGACTGTTCAATTCCTTTCCGACGTATAGGAGCCGACCCGGAAAGAAAGCAACTTCGCCCAGTTCCCGGTCGTGTCTTAGCTGTGTTGGCTGTGGGCAGTGTGGAAATCTTGTGGGTGGAGCTTAAAGGCACACGCGGTCACGTGTGGTTGCTGACAAAGGCCGGCGGCTGGTGCAGAGGCTGCCGAAGACCCCGCGCTGACGCGCGACAGTGAGGTGAGCAGTGCCAGGACTCCGGACGCTTGTACGTTGGGCGGTTGCTAGGGAGAGTCGTGGCGGCTACACATCAGATTCTGGCGAATCGCTGCTGGTGACTCTCCAAGACTTGTGGAGGAGCCATTCGCCCAGAGGGCAGTCCTCTCCGACGTCACGCCGGCAAGGGAAGAGGCGGCAAGAAGTGACTGCACAGGGGTAGACTCATGTAGTTTTAGGGAGACATGGAGGTAGGGAACCGTTTGACAGGCACCCATTCCACGAACTCAGTGGGGCAGAAGTGTGTGTGGCGAACTTCTGACGAAGGGCCCGAAGACCAAGCCGTGAAGAGTGGATAGATGTTTTTGCGAAGTCAGTTAAATGCAATAGACGAAACTTGCGAAAGGCCAGTTGACTTCGTGTGAAGGGACAGGGGTTTACACGAACTTAGTGTCGGTTGCCTCCTTGCAGCCTAAGTGCTGCTTCCGTTTGTTGCCCAAATAGATCTGTTTGCTCGGCAGGCCGGATGCTACTGGGCTCTCCGCCTCTCAGGAGGAGGCCAGTGCCAGTGCAGACGAGCAACCGGCAGACGCTTCCGCGAGCTCCACAGACGCCGATCCCGATGCTTCCAGGCTCGAAGATACACGGCTGTCACTCGTGGTAAGAACTTGTAAGAACTTGTAAGTTGCAGTGAAGATGCCGTGTAAGTATGTGTGAGTTGCTTCCCGGTCCGGATGGCGCGTTGTTCGGCTTCTTTGTAGATCTGCATAGCCAGCGAGGAGCGCCCAGAAAAAGGAGTCGGACTCTTTCAAAGCTGCCAATGCTCTGAAAGCCAGGCCAGGTTCTCGTGCTGTGTTGGGAGAGTCCGAGTCATGCGGCAGTCAGCATCATCAGTGATGGTGTAGTGATACTGGGTACGTGAGCTACACAGTATTTCAGCCATACATGGGGCTGTGTTGACTGCTGTATACTGCTGTCTAAGTGCTGAGCTCCTGCATGCGCTTGCGTTCTGGCCCCCAGCCCCGTACCTGGATGAGGGTCGACGGAAGTCCAGCCGAGCTGCAGGAAGGAGCGACGGGCAGGACGGAGTGGCGAGAAACGAAAGTTTGGGAAAGGGCCCTTTCGAAGATGCTTTGAGGCTTTGAGGCGTTGGGGTCACCTGCTAGGACGCTGTGATACGCTGTGCCTGTGCCCATTTTCGAACCTTGTCTGGACGACTTCTTCGGTCTTGACTGTTCAATTCCTTTCCGACGTTTAGGAGCCGACCCGGAAAGAAAGCAACTTCGCCCAGTTCCCGGTCGTGTCTTGGCTGTGGGCAGTGTGGAAATCTTGTGGGTGGAGCTTAAAGGCACACGTGGTCACGTGTGGTTGCTGACAAAGGCCGGCGGCTGGTGCAGAGGCTGCCGAAGACCCCGCGCTGACGCGCGACAGTGAGGTGAGCAGTGCCAGGACTCCGGACGCTTGTACGTTGGGCAGTTGCTAGGGAGAGTCGTGGCAGCTACACATCAGATTCTGGCGAATCGCGCGGCTGGTGACGCTCTAAGACTTGTGGAGGAGCCATTCGCCCAGAGGGCAGTCCTCTCCGACGTCACGCCGGCAAGGGAAGAGGCGGCAAGAAGTGACTGCACAGGGTAGATTCCTGAAGTACCAGTAGGACTTTTCATTTTTTTAACTCATCGCGCAGCACGTGAGCCGTGGACTCTGCATGACTTTGCTGGCTTGCAGGCCAGACGCTATCGGGGTGTCGACATCCCGGGAGGCCAGTGCCAGGGCAGACGCGCGACCGGCAGATGCTTCCGCGAGCTCCGCTGACGTCGATGCCGGTGCTTCCAGGCTCCGAAACAGGGTTTCGGTTGCCTTAGTGCACGGTGGCTTTTTTTTTGCTTGAGTTGTTTTTGTTGGTGTCTGGGCATGTCCGTCTGCAAGTACAGCCAGCGAGGAGTGCCCGGAGAAAAAGGGAGCCGGACCCTGTCAATGCTGCCAATACTCTCGAAGACAGGAGGCCAGTTTTTTTGTTTTTTTTCTCTCTCTCTCTCTCTCACTCCCTCTCTCTCTCTTTCTCTTTCTCTCTCTCTCTCTCTCTGGTGGAGAGTTGGCGAGCATGGGTCATGCAGTATTGTGCATCAGCATCAGTGATGAGACGAAAGCTTAAGTAGTGTACGTGTGGCTTCGCGGCAGGCAGGAGTGAGTCTCCCAGGCTTCAACAAACGTGGGCGCAGCCGGCGTAGCCGTTCTGTAGAGCAACCATTCGCTGGCTCCAGTGGGAGTCTAATAGTGCCAGATAGTGCCAGCACATAAACGGCACATGATGGAACATGTGATCACATGCAGTTGCTGATAAAGGCCGGCGGCCGGTGCAGAGGCTGCCGAAGATTCCGAGGAGCTCCCCCGCGACAGTGGGCGGACTGCCAGGACTCCAGATGCTTGTAGCGACGCTTGTGGGTTGCCGGGGAAAGTCGCGGCAGCTGCAACGTGATTTTTTTCTAAGACTCCAAGAGAGGAGCCATTCGCCCAGAGGGCGGTCCTCTCCGACGCCACGCCGGCAAGGGAAGAGGCGCCCAAGAAGTGCACAGGTTATATAGCTTCCTGAAAACGAACTTCCTCGGCTTTCATGCCTGCTCCGATGCTGGCCCGCAGGCAGGCCGATACCGGAATCGTGGCATCCCAGGAAGCAGCCAGTGGCAGGGCAGATTCGCAACCGGCAGACGCTGCCGCGAACTCATCGGACACCGATGCCGATGCTTCCAGGCCCGAAGACACCGTGGTCCACGTGCACTTGATGACTTGGAGTACGGCAAGTCTAAGAGTTGTCTTTGTGGGAGCCCGGGCATGTGCAGTTGCAAGCAAGCCAGCGAGGCGTGCACAGAAAATGAAGGAGTCGGACTCTGCTAAAGCACTCCCAAAGCCCGGCTAGGTTCTCGCATTGCATCTTCTGGGTAAAGTTTGATCTCAAGTTTTCCGCGATCTTGCGCGCATTGCAGCCAAGTGAGCAATGGCCAGGTATGCATCTTATACAGGCTACGACGCAGTTTTCTGTCCTTGTCGCAGCAAAGCTTTGGAAAGAACTCGTGTCATCGCTCAGCGGCACTAGACCGCTTCAACTTGTCATGTGCTAGGTGTTTGCCTGGACACTTGTGCCCCATACTCACCAGATCCGGCAGTCCTGTGTGTGGGGTTGTTGGAGTTTAGGACGGTGTGGTCTCCTCGCCCGTGGGATCTCCAAGCCACGGAGTCTCCCTGCACACGGGCCCCCCCCCCCGCCAAGAGAGTGACTTTAAATATTAAAGCATGCGGCTCTCTACCGTGGCCTATACCATTAAGAGGCACATGCGGTTGCTGCAGGTTCAAGAGGCAATTAGGGCTCCCTGATCTTCCTGCACATCGTGTGAACCACGGACTTTGCTGCCTTGCAGGCCGGACGTACCAGGAGTAAGCCTGGACACGTGGCCCACGAGGCCCACCTTTGTCATGTTTTGACACCTGAACCCTATAAGTTGTGTTGCCTTTTGGGGCTCTGGGCGTCCTGGGTTCTACTGTGCCCCCAGCTGAGAGAATCTGAACTCCGTCATGTCAACCTAAGCTGCTCGAGGTGCGCCGCGGGTACGGTCTGGTCCAGCAATGCAGTTGGGAGTATTTGTCGGAAGTCCAAAAGCGCGCATCCCCCATACCGCAGGCGTTTCGGTTCTTTCCACCACCGATGCTGTGTGCTAGCGGCAGAAGTGTGCCTGGCACGGTTGAGACGTCAGTTTGCGCTGCGGGTTTGCCTTCAAAAAGTGCAAAGCCGGCCCCCTAATGCCACCAAACACAACACCCCAAACAACCGCCCCCAACCCGAAACGCCCTTTTCGTAAAGGAAGCCCCTAAACCATCCCAAGCCCTGTAAGCCCGACCCCCTGAAACCCGAGCCGCCAGGCCCAGATGGCCACAGTGACAGTGTGGAGACGCGACTTTCGGGCCACTCCGGCGCTGAGGCCGTCTTCCCATTGTTCGGCACCCTTTGTCCTCGTTTTTTGGGGGTGTTTTTTCGGGGGGGGGGGGGACTCTAGTCTTTTGGTCTTGGGCCCCGTTGTGCTTTTCTTTTCTTGATACGAGAAAGATGTCTTGTGCGAACGTTTATGGGGTATGTGGGTTGATGTGCCTGCAGATGGGGCTATTTATGTGGAGTCTCACTTGCGAGGGGCTGCGGGCTGGCTGAAGACATCGGGGTCAGGGAGGCGATGTGTCCTTCGATTCGTTCTGTTCCGCAGGTGCATGGCGGGACCATGGCCGGCCCTCCGAGCTACGAAGTTCTGCGCAGATGATGGCGTGAATCAGGGGCGTCCCTTTGCTCTGCAAAGGGCCGCCTCTGCTTCACGCGATCATCTCCGCGGCGATTTTGCTAGCAAGGTGCTGCAGTGTACAGTACCTCGGGGACATGAGCAAAGGTTCATGGTCCACCCTTAACGCAGGGATTGCAGTAGAGTGAGCATAGGAATGCACCAGGGGCACACTGCCAATCTTGGGGGTTCCAAGATGGCCCCCCCAAGGGTGTGGAGACTGCACGGGTAAGCTGCTGCAAGCTGCATAAAGAGAGGGCCCTAAACCCCTATAACGCCTAATCCCGCCCCCCCTAACACCCGCCGGTGGCATCTCGGGGACTGACCTGGCGAATCTACATGAAATTGCGTAGGAATCTTGAATTTAGCTGCAAGAGTATTGCAGCGAATTGTATTACATGATATTTTGTATTGCTATCCGCCGAGGCCGGAGGCCTGAGGCGTTTAGATCCAAGTCTAGGAACCACTAAGAAGTGTACCCACCCCAGACCGGCGCAGTCCAGCCCACATCCAGGCCGGGTTTTTTTTGGCCCCAACCTGTATCCAGCCGCGGCCGACGGGCTTCCCCCCCCCCCCCCCCCCCCCCAAAACGCCACGCCCCCTTCCCTCACCCCTTCCTGCCGCCTCGGTACCCTTGTCGAGGCGACAAAATCTTATACATGATATATTATATATTAAATATATTGAACATATTATATAAGTATATCGTATATACTATATTAATCAACATATTGTATATTCTATTCTATTATATTATATTATACTATACTATACTATATTACATAAAATTATGTTATGTTATGTTGTGTTATGTTATCTTCATCATCTTCTTCTCATTATATATATATATATAATATTATAGATTGCCGAATACTACATGTTGCGGCATATTGTTACACCATTGCACTTCATAGGACCTTAGGACATCTTCGAGATCTTGCTACACAGTATCGCAGGACAGTACATCATGTCATAAAGCTCAAGCCTTTGCACGATGCAATCAGCCACTCATCCGACTCGCTTGTTGTCAAGTGTTCGGGTGCAAGCCAGGGTCAAGCGGCCAAGAACCACCTGGGAGTTTATGAAAATAAGGCACCCCCAACATAGACCCCCAAATAGTGGGATCCCCGTATAATTAGGACCCACCTCTTCTGGGATCCCGAACATAGACCCCCAAATAGTAGTATCCCCTTATAATAAGGACCCACCTCTACTCTATTCTTCATGATAGTTCGCTGTCGACGGTGCACGAGGACATGCTCAGCCCATCGAAAATGAAGGACCCTCAATATAAGCCCCAAATAGTAGGAGTCCTTCATAATAAGGACCCCAATAATCCCCCCTAATTTCGGAAAACCCCATGAAGCTCCGCTGGGCCAGTGCCTCAATATGTAATGCTATGTTGTGAGCCGCGGCTCGATCCATCCAAACGCGCACGCCCCAGGTAGAGTCTGCAGACCAGACCACGGTATGTTCTGTTGGTTTAGGGTTTAGGGTTTAGGGTTTAATTCGGGATTGTCTGCCCTGCAGCACAACAATGGCTGTCCGACACTCTTCCTGGTTCCTTCCTGCGGCACGTCCGTGCATGTCCGATTCAAGTGCATGGTCAGTGACAGGGACAGCAGCACTGCCGCCAACTTCGAAGATCACAGCGATGTCCAGAGGCACTCAGCGCTGACATCTTACCCGCGAGGTTTGTCTCAATGGAAGGGCTTCTACCCAAGTGCTAGGGTTTAGGGTTTAGGGTTTAGGGTTTAGGGTTTAGGGTTTAGGGTTTACTAACATCTTTGAACCCCGACACAACACCAACACCAACACACACGCACAAAGGCTTGGGAGGTTTACTGCAAGGATTTAGGGCCGACACCTAAACAGCCTTGCCACATGAACCTTGTTGTGTCAGGGGTTGGCTCAAACTAATGTCCGCTTGTCGGTGTATATACTACATGCATCCATACAATGCGTTTAGCAGATTCTTTGTGAGAGGCCTACCCCCCCCCCCCCCCCTGCTTACAGAATATAGAGCAACCCCTGGGTAACGGACCAAAAAAATGCGTTGCTGGCCAGAACCGAGCCTGATAAGATGAGCGGCCTGCAGCGCGCAAAGCCAACCTCAAGGCCCGATTCCGGGGTTTCGGGTCTGGGGTCTAATTTTTAGGGGTCGGAGAAATTACTACCTTTGTATTTATACCACAACAACCCCCAAACCCTTATTCTATTTCTTCAGGCCCCTACATTATGGGGTTTAAGTTGCTTAGGGTCCCAATCATATTGCAGCTTGGCCCGAGTTGCTCTCCCCGGAGTCGTTTTTTTTTTTTTTTTTTTTTTTTAATTCCTTCAAAAAGCAGAGCCCTAAACCCTAAACCCTGAACCCTGAACCCTGAACCCTGAACCCTGAACCCTTAACTTAAACCCTAAAAACCCTAAACCCTAAACCCCTAAACCCTAAAAACCCTAAAACCCCAAAACCCTAAACCCTAAAAACCCTAAAAACCCTAAAAACACCTAAAAACCCCTAAAAACCCTAAAAACCCCTAAAAACCCCTAAAAACCCTAAACCCAAAAACTTAAAACCCCAAACCCTAAAAGCCCTTAAAACCCTAAAAACCTTAAAAACCCTAAGCCCTAAACCCTACCCCCTGAGCAGTCCCGAGCTGATGCAAAGCATCCCCGAGCTTCGGTTTTATGCAGGGCCCAGTCCGGGCCGAAGGAGAACCTGGGTGGCCGAGACGAGGGTACAAGGCGCCGCATCTGGTGACCATGAGATTTTGATTAGGGTTTAGGAGTTTAGGGTTTAGGGTTTAGGAGTTTGGGGTTTAGGGTTTAGGGTTTATGGGATGTAGGGTTCAGATTAGAGGCTTGTAAGGCTTGGGGTGTAGTGTTACGTGTTTTCGACATGACACTATCATGTTCTGGGTCAAGGATGTAAGGCGTGTAGGTTGGTGTAGGTTGAGGATTCACGGCTTATGGTCAGTGCGGTGCACTGGGATCGATTTGGGAAGGTGTTGAGTGCTGCAGAATCCTGCAGAATCAGTACATTCTTTTGCTGAGAAGAGTGGAGTTCAGAGGGGACACATGCGGGCCATACCGCATCATGAACGGCCCATGCAGAACATCGGATGGTTACAGGACACAGGGAGGACACTGCCAACTCTGCATCAGAACACACCATCACATAACACACACAGTTTCAGCCCATCTCTCGAGCAAGTGCATGGTCACGCTGGCAAAAGGGCATGACACTGCCCATGCTTTGAGCTGGATACATGAGGTGTCACCTAGGCTCTCGCCGGGCGTTGTGCAAGTGGATGTTGCTGGCTCAATGTTGGAGTGCTGGTGCTGTAGTCAGACGGCATTGCGCATAGCGGCTTTCTGATGGTAGCATCTGCTCAGGGACAAGTCGGCAACAGGGAGCCTCAAGAAAGGAGGCGAGGCGAGCAAGACGGGTCCGAAGGAGCCGTCCAGGCAGGGGCATGTGCAGAAGAAATCGGAGAAAAAACATGGCCAGTGCACGTCTTGCGTGAGGGATCCTGCTGCGGGCCAGGAGCACTTCGCCCACGACGGAGAAGCAGCAGCGTGGCGAAGCTCCCAGCGTGAAAGCGCCGGCAGCCTCCGTGAGCGAAGGAACGCCCCCGCAAAGCCCGAGGCGGATGAAACGGTGTTATTGTAAGCTGCCTGTGTGCTCCTGCTCTGGATCTCCAGAACACGCGCGAGGTTTTTGGAGGTTGGGTTGAATTCTCTGAACGCCTGCCTGCCTGGAGGGCAAAGTCACCAAAGTGGGACTTCAAGAAGGGAGATGATCCCAGCAAGAAGACATCGCAGCAAGACCCAGCGAGGCCCAAGTGATTGCCCCTGAAAGAGAGGTAAGCTTGTTGTGGCAGAGCATTTTGCATTGCCCGTCGCAGGAGCACCACGGCGAAGCCAGACAGGCAGCAAGCTGCTGAAGGGTCCGGCAGCTCCAGCACAGCCAAGCCGCGAGCAGACGAAGCTTCCACGCCCCCACAAAGCCCGAGGCCATTGAACGGACCGCCGGATCTTTGGTTGCGTGGCGTGGGAGTGTGCGACTTGTGTGCGTCAGGGGCCAGTCTGCAACATGGAGCTTCAAGAAAGGAGGCGAGGCGAGCAAGACGGCTTCGAAGGAGCCGTCCAGGCAGGGGCATGTGCGGAAGAAATCGGAGAAAACAAAGCATGGCCAGTGTACGTCTTGCGTGAGGGATCCTGCTGCGGGCCAGGAGCACTTCGCCCACGACGGAGAAGCAGCAGCGTGGCGAAGCTCCCAGCGCGAAAGCGCCGGCAGCCTCCGTGAGCGAAGGAACGCCCCCGCAAAGCCCGAGGCGGATGAAGCGGTGTTATTGTAAGCTGCCTGTGTGCTCCTGCTCTGGATCTCCAGCACACGCGCGAGGTTGTTGGAGGTTGGGTTGAATTCTCTGAACGCCTGCCTGCCTGGAGGGCAAAGTCACCAAAGTGGGACTTCAAGAAGGGAGATGATCCCAGCAAGAAGACATCGCAGCAAGACCCAGCGAGGCCCAAGTGATTGCCCCTGAAAGAGAGGTAAGCTTGTTGTGGCAGAGCATTTTGCATTGCCCGTCGCAGGAGCACCACGGCGAAGCCAGACAGGCAGCAAGCTGCTGAAGGGTCCGGCAGCTCCAGCACAGCCAAGCCGCGAGCAGACGAAGCTTCCACGCCCCCACAAAGCCCGAGGCCACTGAACGGACCGCCGGATCTTTGGTTGTCGTTGTGGCGTGGGAGTGTGCGACTTGTGTGCGTCAGGGGCCAGTCTGCAACATGGAGCTTCAAGAAAGGAGGCGAGGCGAGCAAGACGGCTTCGAAGGAGCCGTCCAGGCAGGGGCATGTGCGGAAGAAATCGGAGAAAACAAAGCATGGCCAGTGCACGTCTTGCGTGAGGGATCCTGCTGCGGGCCAGGAGCACTTCGCCCGCGATGGAGAAGCAGCAGCGTGGCGAAGCTCCCAGCGTGAAAGCGCCGGCAGCCTCCGTGAGCGAAGGAACGCCCCCGCAAAGCCCGAGGCGGATGAAACGGTGTTATTGTAAGCTGCCTGTGTGCTCCTGCTCTGGATCTCCAGAAGACGCGCGAGGTTTTTGGAGGTTGGGTTGAATTCTCTGAACGCCAGCCTGCCTGGAGGGCAAAGTCACCAAAGTGGGACTTCAAGAAGGGAGATGATCCCAGCAAGAAGACATCGCAGCAAGACCCAGCGAGGCCCAAGTGATTGCCCCTGAAAGAGAGGTAAGCTTGTTGTGGCAGAGCATTTTGCATTGCCCGTCGCAGGAGCACCACGGCGAAGCCAGACAGGCAGCAAGCTGCTGAAGGGTCCGGCAGCTCCAGCACAGCCAAGCCGCGAGCAGACGAAGCTTCCACGCCCCCACAAAGCCCGAGGCCATTGAACGGGCCGCCGGATCTTTGGTTGCGTGGTGTAGGAGTGTGCGACTTGTGTGCGTCAGGGGCCAGTCTGCAACATGGAGCTTCAAGAAAGGAGGCGAGGCGAGCAAGACGGCTTCGAAGGAGCCGTCCAGGCAGGGGCATGTGCGGAAGAAATCGGAGAAAACAAAGCATGGCCAGTGCACGTCTTGCGTGAGGGATCCTGCTGCGGGCCAGGAGCACTTCGCCCACGACGGAGAAGCAGCAGCGTGGCGAAGCTCCCAGCGCGAAAGCGCCGGCAGCCTCCGTGAGCGAAGGAACGCCCCCGCAAAGCCCGAGGCGGATGAAGCGGTGTTATTGTAAGCTGCCTGTGTGCTCCTGCTCTGGATCTCCAGCACACGCGCGAGGTTGTTGGAGGTTGGGTTGAATTCTCTGAACGCCTGCCTGCCTGGAGGGCAAAGTCACCAAAGTGGGACTTCAAGAAGGGAGATGATCCCAGCAAGAAGACATCGCAGCAAGACCCAGCGAGGCCCAAGTGATTGCCCCTGAAAGAGAGGTAAGCTTGTTGTGGCAGAGCATTTTGCATTGCCCGTCGCAGGAGCACCACGGCGAAGCCAGACAGGCAGCAAGCTGCTGAAGGGTCCGGCAGCTCCAGCACAGCCAAGCCGCGAGCAGACGAAGCTTCCACGCCCCCACAAAGCCCGAGGCCACTGAACGGACCGCCGGATCTTTGGTTGCGTGGCGTGGGAGTGTGCGACTTGTGTGCGTCAGGGGCCAGTCTGCAACATGGAGCTTCAAGAAAGGAGGCGAGGCGAGCAAGACTGCTTCGAAGGAGCCGTCCAGGCAGGGGCATGTGCGGAAGAAATCGGAGAAAACAAAGCATGGCCAGTGTACGTCTTGCGTGAGGGATCCTGCTGCGGGCCAGGAGCACTTCGCCCACGACGGAGAAGCAGCAGCGTGGCGAAGCTCCCAGCGCGAAAGCGCCGGCAGCCTCCGTGAGCGAAGGAACGCCCCCGCAAAGCCCGAGGCGGATGAAAAGGTGTTATTGTAAGATGCCTGTGTGCTCCTGCTCTGGATCTTTGCAGGTTGGGTTGAATTCTCTGAACGCCAGCCTGCCTGGAGGGCACAGTCACCAAAGTGGGACTTCAAGAAGGGAGATGATCCCAGCAAGAAGACATCGCAGCAAGACCCAGCGAGGCCCAAGTGATTGCCCCTGAAAGAGAGGTAAGCTTGTTGTGGCAGAGCATTTTGCATTGCCCGTCGCAGGAGCACGACGGCGAAGCCAGACAGGCAGCAAGCTGCTGAAGGGTCCGGCAGCTCCAGCACAGCCAAGCCGCGAGCAGACGAAGCTTCCACGCCCCCACAAAGCCCGAGGCCATTGAACGGACCGCCGGATCTTTGGTTGCGTGGCGTGGGAGTGTGCGACTTGTGTGCGTCAGGGGCCAGTCTGCAACATGGAGCTTCAAGAAAGGAGGCGAGGCGAGCAAGACGGCTTCGAAGGAGCCGTCCAGGCAGGGGCATGTGCGGAAGAAATCGGAGACAACAAAGCATGGCCAGTGTACGTCTTGCGTGAGGGATCCTGCTGCGGGCCAGGAGCACTTCGCCCACGACGGAGAAGCAGCAGCGTGGCGAAGCTCCCAGCGCGAAAGCGCCGGCAGCCTCCGTGAACGAAGGAACGCCCCCGCAAAGCCCGAGGCGGATGAAAAGGTGTTATTGTAAGATGCCTGTGTGCTCCTGCTCTGGATCTCCAGAACACGCGCGAGGTTTTTGCAGGTTGGGTTGAATTCTCTGAACGCCTGCCTGCCTGGAGGGCAAAGTCACCAAAGTGGGACTTCAAGAAGGGAGATGATCCCAGCAAGAAGACATCGCAGCAAGACCCAGCGAGGCCCAAGTGATTGCCCCTGAAAGAGAGGTAAGCTTGTTGTGGCAGAGCATTTTGCATTGCCCGTCGCAGGAGCACCACGGCGAAGCCAGACAGGCAGCAAGCTGCTGAAGGGTCCGGCAGCTCCAGCACAGCCAAGCCGCGAGCAGACGAAGCTTCCACGCCCCCACAAAGCCCGAGGCCACTGAACGGACCGCCGGATCTTTGGTTGCGTGGCGTGGGAGTGTGCGACTTGTGTGCGTCAGGGGCCAGTCTGCAACATGGAGCTTCAAGAAAGGAGGCGAGGCGAGCAAGACGGCTTCGAAGGAGCCGTCCAGGCAGGGGCATGTGCGGAAGAAATCGGAGAAAACAAAGCATGGCCAGTGTACGTCTTGCGTGACGGATCCTGCTGCGGGCCAGGAGCACTTCGCCCACGACGGAGAAGCAGCAGCGTGGCGAAGCTCCCAGTGCGAAAGCGCCGGCAGCCTCCGTGAACGAAGGAACGCCCCCGCAAAGCCCGAGGCGGATGAAAAGGTGTTATTGTAAGATGCCTGTGTGCTCCTGCTCTGGATCTCCAGAACACGCGCGAGGTTTTTGCAGGTTGGGTTGAATTCTCTGAACGCCTGCCTGCCTGGAGGGCAAAGTCACCAAAGTGGGACTTCAAGAAGGGAGATGATCCCAGCAAGAAGACATCGCAGCAAGACCCAGCGAGGCCCAAGTGATTGCCCCTGAAAGAGAGGTAAGCTTGTTGTGGCAGAGCATTTTGCATTGCCCGTCGCAGGAGCACGACGGCGAAGCCAGACAGGCAGCAAGCTGCTGAAGGGTCCGGCAGCTCCAGCACAGCCAAGCCGCGAGCAGACGAAGCTTCCACGCCCCCACAAAGCTTGAGGCCACTGAACGGACCGCCGGATCTTTGGTTGCGTGGCGTGGGAGTGTGCGACTTGTGTGCGTCAGGGGCCAGTCTGCAACATGGAGCTTCAAGAAAGGAGGCGAGGCGAGCAAGACGGCTTCGAAGGAGCCGTCCAGGCAGGGGCATGTGCGGAAGAAATCGGAGAAAATAAAACATGGCCAGTGCACGTCTTGCGTGAGGGATCCTGCTGCGGGCCAGGAGCACTTCGCCCACGACGGAGAAGCAGCAGCGTGGCGAAGCTCCCAGCGTGAAAGCGCCGGCAGCCTCCGTGAGCAAAGGAACGCCCCCGCAAAGCCCGAGGCGATACGTGTGTGGAGCTTGCAATTGATTGTACGCGCTTTTTTAATGGAATCAGCCAGCTAGGACCTATAGGAGCTGACAGTGCTGACGCGTCCCTGCACGTGGGCTCGTGATTACCATACTCCATTGTTCGCCACAAGGTGCTGAAACCATCCGAAAAGCCCTAATTAAACCCTAAACCCCAAAAAACTGCAAACCCTACACCGCAACCCCCTGTTGTCGGATCCTTCCCGCGGTCTTCGCAAGGGAGACGTCGTCGAAGTGGAGTTTCAGGGCAGCCGCCAGGCGGCGCAGACCTCATCTCACGTGTTTAGCGTTTCTATTCGGGTTCATAATGGGGTTCATAATCGGGCTTCATTGTAGGGTTTGGGGTTTAGGTTTAGGGTTTACATCATGATTGTTAACCGTTAGAATGATGAGTCTTGGTACTTTCAGTAGCACCAGGCCTTCAGTAGCATTGCAGTACTGTACTATCACTATGAGAATGATGATCATGTCATGATCCTATGAGGATCGTTCTTGTCTTGTTAAATCTCCCTCTTGACTCATCCCATCAGGGCGGCGTCCCGCTCCGCGTCGCCGGGAAAGGAACCTGGCGATCGAAGCAGGTGCTCTTTGCCAACCATGAAGTCAGGGTGTTGGATGGTTTTAGAGTTTTCCGGGTTTTGTCCGGTCCTGGGCATGCGGTAAGACGCCCGAAAGACTGAGAAGTCGAAGGCTCTGTAAAGGTGAGATGCCACAAGGCCGGGGGCCTTACGACTACTTTCGGGGGATATGCACCCGGCGGCGGGTGCAGCCGTGATACCGCATGACGTCGGCTCCGTGATGTAAAGTTTCTTAAAGAGATTCATCCGAAAGTGAAGCCTGCGGGGGGGGGGGGGTTGCTTTGTATAAGCCTCATGATCAGTTCATCCCGACGACCAGCCCATAAGACCCCTAGGATGTCGGGTGAATTGAGAAGGAGTGCTGCTGGAAAGTGGTCCAAGTATGTCGCGCTGCAGCGCTCGAGGTTGGGAGCTCAGGATGTTGGAACCGCCTGAGACCTTTATACTGGTGTCAGATTATAACGGACTATCTATCCTTTAGGGTTTAGGGTTTATAGGGTTCACAACCATACAGGAGTCCTGGTTGAAGCCGCCATCCTTACCTAATAGTACTTGGAAAGTTCGAGCGCCTCGAGCCTCCTTTGAGGAGCGCTTCAAACGAAGACAGCGCCAGGGAGCCGGCTTCGAGGACGGGTCAGTCCGATCTTCACCGCTCCCCCCTCCATCTGATATATATATATATGTATCTATATGTGTATATATATATGTAAGATATATATATGTATATATATATATGTGCTTGCATCACTTTCATGCCCAGCTAACTAATTACTCCACAAGAAGAACACCCGACTGCCCAGCAAACCTGCCAGGGACAAGAAGTGGAACTTTGCCGAGCGAGTTCTCAGGCAAGGAATTGTGTGAGTTCAGATGCTGCATGATGCGAAGGCTCATTTGACTGCTCTACGTGCTGTTGGTTCAGATGATGTGTTCAATGCTGGGGCTTGTGTTTAGCGTGCTGCTTTGTTTGGTGTCGCAGTGTCGCGGAGAGCAGGTCGTGTGTTGCGTAGTTGAGGGTCGTTGAAAGATGTTGAAAGGAGTACGGGTGCTGCGCTGCACTATCGAAAGAAGTCACGGTTCTTTGGATGCAAGTTCTCGTCAGATCGAGAAGTCCGTCTGCGGGAGCAGAAGAACGCAGCCACAGGCACTGCTGTGTGGGGTTCGAGTGGCGGCCAGATCGCTCTCGCAGAGTATTGTGTCCGCTGTTTTGACCTATCTCGAGTACTGTGTGTTTAACGGCTTTCAGTTTTTCAATTATCAAAGCCTTGTTGCAGCAATGTACTGGTTCACCGGGAAACCGTGGACCCTCAAACTCTGCTTCTGGCACGGGCTAGGATCATTGGGTTTGCAGGCGCTCGACATTGCTGGACGCCTGCATTGGTGAGGCCACGTCCTGAGGCAGAGGCTGAGCACGTGCACGTAGCCAATTGCCCAGCACACGCATATTTCTGTTACGTTGTATATTATGCTCAAATCGCAATGAGGCAGGAGACTCGCTGGCGCCGCTCGGCTGCACACACCAAATGGAGGTTGCTTGAAGAGGAACTTGGAGATGGTTTCGTGCGCGCGCACGGGCGCGACCGCATCGTAATTTCATGTAATTGGGAATAGGCAGCTGTCGTGAACACAGCCGGACTCCCGAACACACGCTGCTTGGCATAGAGCGCGTGGCTTTCCCCAAGCTGTGCGCATCAAATGGTGCCGGCTCATCATAGCGACGAGTTCACAAAAATCCTTAAACCCTAAACCCTACATCCTGAACACTAAACCCTATAATTAACTAAGCCCTACACCCTGAACACTAAACCCTATAACCCTAAACCCTCTAACCCCAAACCCTGAGCCCAAGCATGTGTCCAGGCCGAAGCTGGGTACTGATGCGCCCCTCAACGCGGACTCCCTTGCGCAGTATTTTCAGGCCCTGAGATGTGAGTCAGGTTTAGGGTTTAGGGTTTAGGGTTTAGGGTTTAGGGCTTAGGGTTTAGGGTTTAGGGTTCATCCCCTCCCCCCGGAAGAATCCAAGGATGGGTCCCCGAACCTTCCCAAGAAGTGTATGGTCAGTCATTTTGGGGGGCTTGGAATATGGCTAGCCCTAAACCCTACATCCCTTAAACCCTGAGCCCCAAACCCGAACAGGGCGTATGAGGGACTCGTTGGGGTAATTCTTGCAAGTTGGCGCCAACGGGTTCTCTGGTGAAGTTGTGCTGCGAGGCCAAGCGTGATGCTGAAAGACTTCTGGCTGCACTTGATGTCTGTACTGTTATGTTAAAGATAGACATGTGCATCATATTTTGTATAATGTTATACTTTACCTGCAGTAGAACAGAAGTTCATATATCACAGCATGATATACTGTAACTCTTGATTTCGAATGCTGCAGCGTCTTCGAGCGCAAGCAGCAGAGAGTAAGAGGTGACAAATGCCTTCGCGCGAGGTGCGGCTCTGGTGAAGACTGTAGGTTTGCGACAATGTTGAGAAAAGCCAGTAGGGTTTAGGGTTTAGGGTTTAGGGTTTAGGGTTTAGGGTTTAGGGTTTGCGCCGTTGTATCCGAGGAACAGGTCAAGCCCCTGCTGCCCACAGCACGCAGGAGGAGTTTCTCGTCCTTGGGGAAGCAGCGGCTGTGAGTTTTTCGGTTGTCCTCCAGTCCTCCAAGGTTGGCTTCTATATCCCCTTTGGCTTTTTTGTAAATTTAATTTTTGTTTATATAAAACCCAAGAGGATATTTAAAATATTATTTTTCTTGAGGTTCCAAGGGGAGTATAGCCTTGTTTCCCGCCAGACCCTTTCACACAGCCTCATAGACCGCGTAGAACATGTCCAAGCAGCCCGTCAAGTGTTAGGACCAGCTAGGAGGTCCCCACCCCAAGTCAGAACCCTAAATCCTAAACCCTAAATCCTAAACCCTATAAATCCGAAACCTTAAACCCTCGGGATCCCGAAAGGCTCGAACGCGTGCCGCGCTTCGGCTCAGAAGCGAGTTCTGAGGCGGGGTGGAGCTCGGGCTAGGGTTGAGGGTTTTAGGGTTTCGGGTTTAGTGTTTAGGGTTTAGGGTTTAGGGTATAGCGCTTAGGGTTTAGGGTGTAGGGTTTAGGGTTTAGGGAGGTTTAGAGTTTGGAGATTGTATTGTTGTGGGTACTTCTGCTCAAGCCCTAGAGACGATCCCGCCATTCCCTTGAGTACCCGAAAAACCCTGAACCCTCAGCAGAGACCAAATTCCGCCGATGCAGCAACGCAGTTGGGGCTGTTCAATATTGGGGGGGGGGGGGCATTCTTAACCATTTCAAGAGCACTCCGTAGGAAAGTAGGAATTAGTGTCCCTGTACACTGAATTTGAAAGGGTTATGTAGGGGGATGTTAGGTACTTGATTCCCCAAGTCCTATCAAGAACTAGTATGAGACGGAAGCCTAAGCCCAAGATGCACAGGGAATTTGTCGCCGTTCTATAGCCCGTCAAGGGATGACACACCCTAAAACCCTCAAACCGACTCAAACCTATACCCTAAACCGAACTCTTAAACCCTAAGCCCTACATCCTGGATACCTAGGCGGCAACTACTGGTTCGCAAGACCACTCGGTTTAAAGCTTAAGGTAAACCCTAAACCCTAAACCCTATAAACCCTATAAACCCTATAAACCCTATAAACCCTATAAACCCTATAAACCCTATAAACCCTATAAACCCTATAAACCCTATAAACCCTATAAACCCTATAAAACCTATAAACCCTATAAACCCTATAAACCCTATAAACCCTATAAACCCTATAAACCCTATAAACCCTATAAACCCTATAAACCCTATAAACGCTATAAACGCTATAAACCCTAAACCGTGAGCAAGGAGGGCCCACCTACGAGTCTTCCGCTGCAACTCCTCCAGGCAGATGGCTTAGGTCTTGCCAGAACACGTCCGGGCGTGTCCTTCCAAGCCTGCGGCAAAATAGGGTTTGTAGGGTTTAGAGGGTTGAAATTGGGTGATACACGGGGGGTATGTAGGGCTTACAATTCTGATCCCCCCTAAACCCTAAACCCAAAACCCAAAACCCTAAACCCTAAACTGATCCCTCGAGTTAATGTTAGAGCCCACCTTGCTGTGAAGGCGGAGCTCAAGACGATGAAAGTCTCGGATTTGAGAGACCGGGCTGCGACCTATGGCTGTGCAGAAGAGACGCGCCTTGCCTCGCATGGCGTTTAGGGGGTTTAGGGTTTAGGGTTTAGGGTTTAGGGTTTAGGGTTTAGGGACTTAGGGACTTAGGGACTTAGGGGCCTAGGGGCTTAGGGGTTCAGGGGTTCAGGGGTTCAGGCGTTTAGGGGTTTAGGGGTTTGTAAGCCTCTGGCGAGCAGCTTGTGGCACCCAGCCTGATGCTCTCTTGATGTGGTGTGCTGGTGGGTGAAGAGCCTGCCCGAAAGGATAATCTCCTCCTGAACACAGCTAACAACGTTGAGGGGGGCTCACCGGGCCTGCGATGGCAAATCAGCCCTCGCAAGAAGGTCCACACGCCGGGCCTGCGCCTTCTTGCCACACTAGTTGGGGAAGGGGGGGGGAGAGCGACACCGAAATGCGTTTCAGATCCTCATCCCGATAGACATCCGATAGACCCCACCAAATGCAAGCCTCTTTGTTTGAGACAGTATCTGGGGATCTCGTGCACCCCATCAGGCTCAGGCTACGTCCACTGGGTTCAGGTCCTGAACTTTACAAGTGTTGCAGGCTTTCCGAAGATCAGGGTGAAAGGGGGTTCAATAAGGGCCCGAACCCTTTAAATCCTAAGCCCTAGACCCTGAACTTTACACCCTGAAACCTACAGGCTTTCCCCCTTGGCCACTGCCTGTCCTGCTGAGGGTGCGGGCTGCCCTGGACAGCCCAACCCCGAAGTCAGCGCTGACGGAACTCATTCTGGACCCTCGACACTGAGGTTTAGGGGAATTCAGGGTTTCGGGCTTCGCATTCTGGACCCACGACACTGGGGTTTTTAGGAGTTTAGGGTTTCGGGCTTAGGGTGGAGTCTTGGGCATGCGAACCCTAGACGTACAGGGGCCCAGCCAGTCTGCAGCTTTCTAGGGGCATGCCAGGATGTCGGCTCTGGGTGGGTTGTACACTGTTTGCTGTTCGGCTTCTGAATCAGGCTTCAGGGCCCGCCTCCCTTTCCTGGAATCTGAGAAGTTCGTGGTTGGATCGGCAAGCCATAGGTTTAGGGCTTAGGGTAACTTATTTTTGAGCTTGCAGTTATAGGGGATGTTCAGGGTGGTCGGATTGTAAGTAAGTTAGACCCTAAACCCTAAACCCTAAACCCTAAACCCTAAACCCTAAACCCTAAACCCTAAACCCTAAACCCTAAACCCTAAACCCTAAACCCTAAACCCTAAACCCTAAACCCTAAACCCTAAACCCTAAACCCTAGACGGGCTGCATCTGGGCCCAAGGACGTGGCGAGGGATGCCAGCGATGCCCTCATGGAGATGAGCTGGACCGAGCTGAAGCAGCATGCCGAGGAGATGGGTATCACGGAGGCCCCGCCGTCCTTTTTTTTTGGTGGCGTTTAGGGTTTAGGGTTTAGGGTTTAGGGTTTAGGGTTTAGGGTTTAGGGTTTAGGGTTTAGGGTTTAGGGTTTAGGGTTTAGGGTTTAGGGTTTAGGGCCCCGTGTTGTAGGCCTTTGTCTCCTTTTCTGTCCTTCGCTACACGAAGTGTATTTCTGTCCTTCTTGACATGTCCGTTTGAGCCCCTGTATACTCATATACACATAACCTATACTCGTATATGTACATGATGCATGTACACATAAACAAGTGCGCGTGAACACACGCATGAATACGTCATTGTTTGTAGGCATTTTTGCAAGCTCCACGCGCACGTGATTTTGTTCGCGGTCTTTAACTCCGCTCTAGATCTTTGGGCACAGCTCATGTAGAAGCCCATTGAAATTTGGGTATTTAAGGGTACCCAAGCCCCTAAAGGGCCCCAAGTTCTTTGTCAACCCGTTACATGGGAACACTGATGTATTTTAAGAATTTGAGATCCCGATTCATCGTGTTTTGCAGTCGAGTTCGAAGAGAATCGAGCTCGAAAGGCTGAGAGATTGCGTAGTTCGAAAGTGTCAAAGGTGTGAAAACTAGAAAGTTGCGAGTTCGAAGTTTGAAATTGCCGGCTGCAAGCAGCTTTTCAGCAATCGAGCTCGAGCGCCTCTTCTCAAACTCAAACTGTCGCCCATCCGAGCTTGAAGAGATTTGAGTTTTGGATGTTTGGAGTTCGACGGCTTGTGAGCTTGAGAGTTTGAAGCTTTTGGAGCTCGACAGTTTAAAGGTATTGAGTTGTCTGAAGTCCTGCGAGCGCGGCGTGGCCGGCGCCGCGAGTTTGAAAGTTTGAAAGCTCGAGAGGTCCAGAGTTTGGTGTTCGACAGTTCGAGGGCTTCAATGTTTAGCCCTAAACCCTAAACCCTAAACCCGAAACCCTATACCCTAAACCCTAAACCCTAAACCCTAAGACTCTTGACCTGATAGCACTTTCAGCCCCTGGAGCTGTCGGCTCACCATCTCTCAAAAAACCAGAAACCCCACCCCCCCCCCCCACCCCCCCTAAACCCTAAACCCTAAACCCTAAACCCTAAGCCAGAAACCCTAAACCCTAAACCCTAAACCCTAAACCCTAAACCCTAAACCCTAAACCCTAAACCCTAAACCCTAAACCCTAAACCCTAAACCCTAAACCAGAACTGCCTTCTTGCTCGGGATGTAGAGTTTCGGGCTCAGAAATAAACCCAAAGCCAAGCCTGTACTGGCTGACCTGAGACGCTAAATTCATCAAACTCCTACAAGCGGTGCAGAGGGTACAAAAAAAACCTGAGATTCCATATTGGACTCTTGAATTTCCGTACCTTTTTGGCCGGATCCAAGTTTCAAGATTCAGAATTCCAGGGAGACACTGAACCTTGACTCTCGGATCCCAACTTTTCACCGTCGCAAGCCCGCCCGCGAAACCCAGTGGCCCAGCCTAAAACCGTGGATAATGGGGGGGGGGGGGGTGGTGGTGGAATGTATATGTAAAATTTATGTGTACACATAACAGTAGCCATACACAGGGAGGTGTACATGCCACGTGCATGCGCACTATATCGGTCCTAGCATGAAGCCAGGCCTCTACGCAACTCCCGCTGAGCCTGCAAGGCTGTGTGAAACTCCTCTTGAGACACTCAACCTCCATGATCTCCAGACATCACAAACCCCAGTGAGCCATTCCTTCAGGCACAGCTCGCCGGCGCCCAGGAGGGCAAGAATCCAAAGGCTCGCGGCTGACATCTGAAGAAGGGGCTGGCAATCAACAATTTAAAAGCCACTACGCAGTGTGCAGCAGGTAGCGCTTATCATGGCAATTTTCGGGAGCGGCAGCGACCAAGGAGTCCAGCATCTCAGCTGCATCACTCGGAAGACACATGTCTGCGCATCTGGCAAAGAGACGAAAGGCAACTTCCTCTAAGGTGTCGTTTGACATGTGGGGGTTTACGAAAATAGGGGACCCCCACAATAGACCCCCTAAATAGAAGGATTCCTTTAAGGACCCCAAATAAGGTACCCCTATAGTTTCGGAAACCCCACGTGCACCCAGCCGCTTTACATGTGGGGCTGAGTAGCTCTCCGAGGTCTCCTGGGAAGCTAGCCACTGGCCTCGAGGCGGAGAGCAGAATTATATGAGATCTTTACCGGTTTAGGGTTTCGGGTTTCGGGTTTTGGGTTTAGAGGGTTTAGGGATCCCTCAGCTACAGTAGTGGCCAGCACCTGACCCACTCCTTACACGAACAGCGTGCGCCCCGCAGCTCGTGCTTCAAAATGCATGGCCGGCGCTTGATAGGATAAGGGGGACCCTTAAAAGGGAACCCCTTCTGAACCCTCTTCTGCCTCTCTTAACAGGGACCTTATGCAGAGGGTCTAGATCCCAAAGGTCCCCCTAATCCTAGCCCTAACTTGATCTTGCTGGCTGCCTGCATCCGTAGGTTTCCTTCGACGTGGGACACGGCAACGCGCAATAGTTCCGACGGAGGCATGGGGCTTTGCGTGAACGTGCATTATGCACGACTAACCCTAACCCTAAACCCTAAACCCTAAACCCTAAACCTAAACCTAAACCTAAAGAACGATAAATAGGATAAACATATGAAGTAGCCTCAGCACTGCACACTTCCGATGGCAGCTTGGGATATGTGCTCCAGGCATACGGGACTGCGGTTGGGACGCAAGGCCCGCCTGCTCTCGCTTCGGTCCTTTCCGAAGTCTTTGTTTTGCCTTGAAGTGCAAACAAAGATCCCAAACCCGAATCTGTAGGGACTTCAAGAGCTATATATGATATGGAATAGTTTCCCTTGTTAACTACACAGAGCTCGCTGTTGAATTCTAGAGCCTTTGGTCTTCGAGTTTTTGCCAGGATCTCGTTCAAGACCTGGCCCCCATCAGCTTGGCTCGCGCCTCAAGGGCTTGTCCTTCTTCGCTAAGGCTCCAGGAATCAGGTTTGGGATTTAGGGTTTGGGGTTGCATGGTGGGCCCCAAAATCTGAACCCTAACCCTAGCCTGCACACGCACAAGCCGATTCCTAGCTGGTTTAGGTGCCTACTCGCCTGAGAGCTGAGGGCTGCCACCAGATCCCCTACCCCCCAAAACCTCCCCCCTGGTTTCACTGCTTGGGGCGGCTTCTTTGCAGGCCCTGGTGCCTTCGGCATGGTCTGGTGGCCGCGACCTCAATTCATGTCAGTGGGAAAGTGCTTTGGACTTCTTCTCGACTTTGGAGGTACCTGAACGCCGAAGAGGAGGACTCTGGGAACCGCTCTAACTGAAGTCAAAGGCCCCTCTAAGCCTCGTGTAAACCCACGTAAACCCAAGTGGGTCTGTCTATGGGCTGTGCCCATCGATGTAGGCAGTCGGATGACGTGAGTCCGTGGTCAGAAATCCTCGCTTCCCTCCGTTTGTGGATGCGTCCTCCAAGAAGCAACCCTTCCATGAGGTGACCACTGGCGCTTTTTCACTGTTTGCTGCGACCATGTCATACAACACCCTTTTGTTTCGGCCCGTGGTGGCCGCGAGGAGCGACCGGAAGATGTGATGCAGCCCGGCAGTGGCAGAGGAAGCCAGAAAGGCGGGGGTGATGAGGGGTGCAGCACATGTGACAGTGGAACATCGACATGGAAGGAGCCGGCGACCCTCAGACGAAGACGATAATGGTCTGGGCCGGGCATGACATGCTTCCCGAAATCTGAAACACTAACCCTGGAATCCCTAGTTAAGTCCAAGTTCGAAGGGGCTAGGCCGGTAATGCGGGGCCCACGCAAAAGGCCTTGCCACCTGTACCCAGCTCTGGTCGGCCGCCACCGGAGGCTTGTGGCTTTGGTTCCGGTAAAGATGAGTTTGGGGTTTTGATGTGTGTGGATGGGTTAGCATGGTTAATGAGGATGGAGATGGGCTTTGGTTCGAGCCTAAATGGACTCAGCTTGGGATGGTGTTAGGGCCCCTTCGTCGAAGATTAGAACCCGCATCTGCTGTTGGACAACCGGAGTCGTGTCCTTTTCGCGAAATCGACCCATGTAGCTGCAAACATCATCATAGCTGAGCACAACCACTCTATTACACACACCATAACAGGGTGTTTCTGGGTTTAGGGTTTAGGGTTCAGAATTTTGGGTTTAGGGACCCAAGTCCCAGTCGATGTGCTGTAAGGGGTTAGAGCGTTAGACTTTAGGGTTGAGTTATGGGGTTTTAGGGTTTAGGGTTTAGAGAGAAAACCCCGGAAGCCCTAAAGGCTCATGATCTCGGGTGTGCAAGGCTTTGGGGGGGTTCGTTTAGGTTTAGGGTTTAGGGTTTAGGGTTTAGGGTTTGGGTCTAGGGTTGGGCTTTAAAGGTTTCGGTGTTTTTAGAACCTGGGTCACGCGCTCCTGTTTCGATATTGGTAGAAGGCCATTAAGCTTCTTCACGACTTCGAGGTTTTAGGGCTGCTAGGTGTATTTCAGGTTTCAGGACTTGAAAGGTTTCAGGGTTTTGGATGGTCAAGCTCCAACTCCTGTGTTCTGGAACCGCGTCCCCGCACCCGCGCAAAAAAAAAAAACGCGCCCCCACGCCCGCAGCAAAAAAAAAATCGCGCCCCCGCACCCGCCGCAGCAAAAAAAAACAAACGCGCCCCCGCACCCGCAGCAAAAAAAAAAAACTCGCCCCCGCACCCACAACAAAAAAGCACCCGCAACAAAAGAAAACACTCTTACCCCTGTGTTCTCGCTGTTTTCTGATTGTTTTGTTTGCTGACGCGGTCTTCTTGGTATTCGGACTCGGTCCCATCCTGCTACACACTGTTCCGACTCGGAGGTCGCCCTTAAAAGAAAGTAGTAGCATCTTTCTGCAGCAAGGAGACCCTTCAAAAAGGGGTACTCCCCCCCCTCCCCCCCCCTCTCCCCCGAACTTTCGAGGTGAAGCTTGAAGACGCAGCGCAGGAGGCTGAGAGACACATCCCGGTACGGGCGTCGAGGGTGTCCGGTGCAACTTCAACGGACAGCGAAGAGTTTTGGAGAAGCTTTGCTTACGTTCACGCCCCAAGGTCGGCTCCGCGCCACCTGCTGCCGTGGGTGGCGCTGCATGCCCCGCTCAAGCAGGGCCACAGGACCTGGGCTGATGGCGGGGCGGGAGGGCTTGTTATGGTGTGTCGCTTAAGGGCCGCCAGACCGGACCCTTCTTTGAAGATTACCGGTGTAGCACCTAAGCACCGCCCGACCCACTCCACCGTGTGGTACTGGATCCGCCAGGCCACTTGAAACTTCCATAGTTTTTTGCCTGTTTTTATTCGGAATCCACCAGGCTTCGGGGCAAATCCGCTCTAGAGCTTTGGGCCCTGGGCTTCTGGGATAGGTTAAGCTGCCCATTCTGCACATGGCAGACGCGGCTTGACAAGTTGTGTGCTCCCTAAACCCTAAACAATAAACCCTAAGCCCCCTAAATCATAAAGCCTATAAACCCTACACACCCGAAACCCTAAATCACAAACCCGAAGCCCCTTGTGATTCGCCAGGATCAAGCTTGCTGTGCAGCTCTCAGAACGCTGCCAGCATCGCGCTTTTATATCGCGGAAGGAGATGGCCCAAAGGACCCCATGCTGCCCTTAGAACTTGAAGTGCTACTGGTACATATATATATATACATATATACATATCACGAAAGCTAGCTCTGTGGAGCTGGCGGGAGTTGTCGTTTACCCATGCACTGGTATTCACCTTGTTAAGAAGCTTCCAGGGAAAAAAAGGGTTCCATACCTTAACAGGTCCGAAACCCAAGACTTAAGGTGGGGGTTGGGGGGGGGGGGGGGGGGGCCCCCCCCCCCCCTCACCTCACCATGAAGCATTTTCGAAGGATAAGGTGCCGGCGCCCCCCCCCCCCCCTCTCCTTTAAGGTGGTTGCGTGTGGGATAAGGTTGGGGGGGGGGGGGCCCCCCCCCACCTTCAGGTCCCCCCCCCCCCCCCCCCCACAAGGTTACCCCAAGGTCCTCCCCCGCCCCCCACAGTCACCATGCTCTGAAGGTCTGTGGTACTTTGCAGAGGTCGTACTGAACAGAGCGTCCCTGTACCTAAACTTCGTTTGCGACACGGGGTTCCAGCGTGGGAAGCAAGGGGGCTGAAGGAGTTTAGGGCTTCAGAAGTCCTGCCGACTCGCTGCATGCCACCCCCCTGCGGTGACTAGCTTTCGTAGCCCCTTCTCAAGACATATATATATATACTTATATATACATATATATATATATACATATTTTATGTGTGTTTACATTTTTGTTTGGGTAAGTTGCTTGCATCCGGGTCTCCTGCTTGTCGCTCCCGCTGGTTCTGAAGTGCCAGAAAAACAAAAACAACCCTAGTCCATTGAACCGTAAGCTTAAGTCGCTAAGTCCCTAACTCTCAAACCTCAATCCCGACTGTAGACCTGCCAAGCCCACACCGCCTGCCCCATCCCAGGCGCAGGCTGTTGTCTCTGCAGGTGAGGAGACGGCTGGAGCACAGGACCCAGCTCCACGCCGCAATGCACAGAGGGGGGGCGGGCTTAAGGCCTTGTGGTTGACGGATCGCTGCCCGCAACTTCACTCGATGTTGGATTGCAGGCTTATTGCTGGTGGAGTTTGCCTGAGATCGAATTACTTGGTCTGTGCGACTTGGCGTGATGCCCTGAAGGAGCTGGATGCTGTGGGGGAAGTCTCGCTCAGCCAGGTGGGCGCTGCCCTTGCCTCGCTCCCCTCCGCCCCTTCCCAGCTCGGGCGCACGACTTTTGTAGGGGATTTGGAGCATTGGAGTATACCGGCAGCTGCCTTTGTTGTAGTTGCCTGGCCGAACTTTTTAACCATTGCTTCCGCAGGCACTGCACCTGGTTCACTGGTGCTGGGCGTCAGCGAGCCACATTTCGCTTTGGCACTGCT